CTCGTCGCTCTCGTGGTCATCTTTATTCCTCATTTTCTCCTCTCTGCAGTCGTTGTCGGATTCCTGCTCGCCGCCCTGCTTCCCCTTTCTCTCGGGACTGGCGGTGGGTGATGGGACTGAAGCTCCACAGCGGTGCGCCTCCGAATGCTCCGGTTCAGAGTCAGTATCTTCCGAATAATCCGGTTCGGTGTCGGTATCGGTATCGGAAGTGGATGAAGTTCGCCTACCGGACCGTTCCGCCTGCGCCCTCTCCATTGCGATGAGAACTTCCAGCTGAAGTATTACTCCATGTTTGTCGTTGTTCTCCTGGAGCACCTCCCGAGAACTTCCACGCTGGTTGCAATCATTCCCCGCGCGCTACATCCATTATAGTGCTTGTATCAAAACGCCAGCGCGGGTATAGGTAGTTTAATCGAAACTCCGCCCAACACTGATCTAGACACGCCCACTTTTTTGGGACGTAACTCGCGCTGTTGACCTTTGGGCGTTGTAAAAGTGTACACACTGACAATCAGTAAGCACTAAGATCACGCAGTGCGGGTTTTGTTTGATTTGGGGGGTTTTTCAGGAGAGAAACCTGTCCAGATCATAATGTTTCTTTTTGCCTGTTAATAGTTTTGGTGCGTATAAAGTAAATATGCATTTTTATTTTAATTTCTAACTCCAAGCCTTATTCTATCATCATGTGTAGTTGGCTCTGGAAGGTTTATTGTTGTCGTTTGTTTTGGGTTTTTGTTTTTCAATGGAAAATAAGATGTATCTTGGTTCTACTGACTTCTAAAGACTGTTCACACTAGTACGTGATGATGTGCTGGTATACATTTATCTTTGTAAGATAATTAAAAACACGCACACACATCGGTATAACATTTTCCAACTACAAAATACACGTCCTGATTGTGCCCTGAGATGGACTGGCACCCTGTCCAGGGTGTACCCCGCCTTGTGCCCGATGATTCCTGGGATAGGCTCCAGGTACCCCGGCGACCCTGAAAAGGAGTAAGCGGTAGAAGATGGATGGATGGAAAATACACATCCAATTGTTTTTCAGGTCTTAGTTTTCGATCATAAACAAATGAATTATGTTATCGCAGGTAGTCTGTTATAACAGGGGTCTCCAACCCCGTGGGTCATTCGGTACTAGGCCGCGCAGGAAAGAATAAATAACCTGTGTTATTTCCGTTTTATTTATTATATGATTCTGAACGATGTTTTATTTTGAAAAATGACCGGATTCTCTCCGTTACATCCTTCTATAACTCACTCTTGACGCACGTCAAGACGCTTGTCTCGGTCACATACGTTACAGCGACAAATAAACCCAGAAGCTAGCAAAATGAGTAAAAAAAAACAAACGTCTCTGGAAAGTTTCTTTGCGAAGGGGAAAAGCTAATAAAGTTGTGATTTCACATTAGATTCACATTATATATATATATATATATATATATATATATATATATATATATATATATATATATTTAAATACCCCAGTTTTTATGCCGGTCGTATCATTTTATTTTGTTGTATTTATCCGTCACACCTTAAAGGCCGGTCCGTGTAAATATTGTCTGATATTAAACCGGTCCGTTGCGCAGATGAAGGTTGGGGACCGCTGTGTTGTACGATTAATCAGGACACTGTTGGGTTTCTGTGTGTAGAGTATCTTACTGATGAGAAAGTGGATGCGAGTGAGCCCCCCCTGCTGGGCAAACAATTCACACTTCTCAACAATAACATCTATAAAGATCAAACTAACAGCACAAATAAAGGGTTTTTTGATAGTAAGACACTGTATACAACTGCCACAATAAATCTATAACATTTAAACCTAGTAGGCTAGGTTAAAAAAAAATGATAAAAAAAACAAACACTTTAGAAAAGGACTGGCCCCCTGTCCAGGGTGTACCCCGCCTTGTGCCCAATGCTTCCTGGGATAGGCTCCAGGTTCCCCGTGACCCTGAAGAAGGAAAAAGCAGTAGAAGATGGATGGATGGACACTTTAGAAAAACTACAAATTGTTTAAGTGTCTATTTTTGTATGCGACTACGGTGGAGTGTGACGTCACAAATAAATGCAATACTGAACACAGGTTCCCCCAAAACAGATGGAAATTAATGGGGTTAAGGGCCATGCACAAGGGCCCAGCAGTGACAGCTTGGTGGTTGATGTCCACCAATTTAACCATTGAGCTACCACTGCCTAAGACCAAGCACATATTGTCAAATCAAGGTACCAATGAAAAAAAAACAAAAAAACAGAAAATTTAAAACCCCTTATTTATTTATTTTTTAAATTTATGAATACAGCTGCCTATTTGCCTTATGGTTTGTGTGTAATAGTTTGTTTCATATCATTAGTTTCATGTCATCGAGGAATCCTTGTGATATAATATAATGCATTGTGCAACACTAATCGTTTTAAATGTCAAGACTTCATGGTCATGGGTATTTTTACTTTAGATCGTCGTACTTGTTGTTTTGGTACCGCCTTCTACTGCGTTTTTGATGAAATCTCTGAAGAGAAAACAGTATGAAAGATATTAAAGAGCTATCACAGTAATAACAAGATCTTATTCGGCTTCCTTTACAGAGCCCAGAGAGTCCGACACACAGCCTAACGTTTGAAAAGATGTGTGCATGTATTTGCATGTCCCATTCTGTCCTGGTTCTCAGAATGGCCTGGAGCCACAAAGCACTTCATTCTGGATCCTTATCTCCAGTTGGATGTGACTGTCTCCTGAGCATTAGACGGTCAGTGTTTTTTTTTTTCCTCTTCAGGGCCGTGAGAAGGCCAAGGCGGTTACAGTTTACATTTATGGACATGTTTGGTATTTTAGAGGATTTTAGAAATGAGGACTTCTCATGTGTAAGCTTATGAGTATATGTTTATTACACGTGATTAAAAAATAAAACTGATATCGGTTTATGTGTTAATTGTGTGGAAATCGTTAAGGAAGAGAAATGTATTGATGTATTACGACCATAACAGTGACGATGGCAGATAGAGCCATCGTCACTGTTGAGATAGAACAGTAACACAATAAAACTGCTTAAATGATTAGTTATTATGGTCAGACCAGCTGATAAATACCACCCACTTCCCTTCTACATTGACTGTGATGAATTTAACACATGGAATTAATATAGGGATCCTTGAGCGCCATCTGCTGTCGAGAAGTACAAAGTTTCTCAGAACAGTTATGAGAAAATCACATTAACAACAAAAAATGAACAATAGATCTATTTTTTTTTCTTTTAAATCTATTATTTGCTGAGATTTATGTTGCATGGGGATTAATAAAGTATTATCTTATCTTATCTTATGTATGTGGTCAATAAGTACACTCCACACACATACCACTCCCATGTCCACTGCATCAACTACACTAATATCCTGTTACCTAAATTAAGAAAAATCCAATCAAATCTAGGACCTCAGATGGTTCTTCGGTATGTTCCTCTAGGAAGGAACATTGGAACATTCTATAAGGAGTTCTATACAAAATAGAGAAAAGTCATTCTTTTAAAATGCCAGAACCATTAACCACCCAAATAACCATTTTCTTCAATTTTCAATTTTACTTCTTCAAATTCCTTAATGTCCTTACTCGCTCAAAATCTGAACATGCTTCTTCATCTATATACGCATATACATGTGTAGAAAAAACAGGGTTTTTGAAGGGTTCTAGCTTTTTAAAGGCATTCCTGTTTGAAATTCTGTTCCTCGTAGAACCTTTAAGGATACACTGAAGAAGCCTGTAAGGTACTAGATTTACTGATCTGATTTATTAGTGCGGGTGGAAATAGATAGATTTGGTAACAGAATATTCATGCAGTTGATACAGGATGAGACAAAGGTTCAGAGTAGAACTATTTAAAAAAAAAATAATAATAATAATAAATAGATCCATTAAACATCCAAAACCATATTTTTTTTCATAGAGTATATAATAAATACTTCTTCAAATCTCTTAATGTTCTTCCACTCGAAAACAGAATCCATCCATCCGTCCATTTTCAGTAGCGCTTATCCTACAGGGTCACGGGGAACCTGGAGCCTATCCCAGGGGTCATGGGGCACAAGGCAGGGTACAGGACAGGGTGCAAATCCATCGCTGGGCACAATCACATACACATTCATTCACTTTAGACATGCCAATCTGCGTACCATGCATGTCTTTGGACTGGGGGAGGAAACCGGAGTACCCGGAGGAAACCCTCACAGCACGGGGAGAACATACAAACTCCGCACTCACATGGGGCAGCAGTGAGGCGAACGTGCTAACCACAAGGCCGTTAATGAGTTCTTAGAGTCCTACAAGGCTTCTACCTTCAGATAGGTAAATGTAAGCTTTTATTTTTTCTAACAGTGTTTGATGATGTAGAATCAGAAAACATAATCGGGAGGGGGGGATCCTAATCGTAATCAATAATGTGTAAGTTAGTTATGATTTTGTTTCCTTTGCGCTTATTTACTCTGGACCGAAAAGAAACTTTGATCAAGGATCTTCACACAGAGACTCGTTGAGGAGAATGAGTGGAGGCACATTTGCCTCTTGGTGGTGCTACAGCACGATGTTCAATTTCAAAATTGTCCTACCTGCTTCCACTTAAACTGTCGAGGTATTTTGTGTAAAAGGGTCAATCTAATTTTCCAAACCAATTCAGGAAAATGTTTTGAATTATTTTTCAGTATGTTCGAGAATTGTTATCCTACACAGTACACGGTATGTACGTATGTTTTGGGCTTCCATGAACACGGTGGAACATACACAACCAGACTGGGTGTAATGTACACAGGGCTACAATAATGCAGGAAATAAACCATACAGCGGTATACAAAAATACCAGTAGTGTGAAAAAGAACTATAAAACATTGGTGGAACTTGGGTCTGAAATTCTGTCTTCTGGTCTACTGGATACAATCTGTAATTATTATTCACACAGATTCACTCTAATATTAATATCATTTTATTATATGAATTATTGTACATATAGGGAGGCACAATGGCTTAGTGGTTAACACGCTTGTCTCACACCTCCAAGGGTTGAGTTTCGATTACTGCTTCTGTCCTGTGTGAACAGAGCGTACACGTTCTTCATGTGCCTCGGGGGTTTCTTCTGGGTACTCCAGTTTCCTCCCCCAGTCCGAAGACATGTGTTGTAGGCTGATTGACATGTCTAAATTGTAAGTAGTGTGCAAATGTATGTGTGGGATTGGGCCCTGTGATGGGTTGGCACCCCATTCAGGGTGTCCCCTGCCTTGTCCCCCGGGTCCCCTGGGATAAGCTCCAGGGGAAAAGTGTATGAAAGCACTACAGAAAATGGATGGATGGAAATATGATAGAAATATAATTTTTTTCTGTAAGAACATCTAGCTCAGCTGCTACTGACTCTCGCGGTTAATACTAGGGATGCCTTTAAATTAAAGGATAAAATCAGCCACTTTAAAATAGTACTGTAAACATATTTAGTACCCAAAATCAGTGTATTTTTAGGAATTTATTCCATCCATCCATCCATCCATCTTCTATACCGCTTAATCCTTTTCAGGGTCACGGGGAACATGGAGCCTATCCAAAAGCGCATCGGGCACAAGGCGGGTACACCCTGGACAGGGTGCCAGTCCAACGCAGGGCACAATCACATACACACTCACACACCCATTCATACACTACGGACTGGGGGAAACCCCGCAGCACGTGGAGAGCATGTAAACTCCGGCCACGGCGGGTATCAAACCCCCTGGATGTGTGAGGCGAACGTGCTAACCACTAAGCCACCGTGCACCCTATACCATGTCCTCATGCTAGTACAAATAGGTCAGAATACTATCAAACTAAAATGTTGGTAGCAAAGACAGCTAGTTAGTACATTCCTCAAGTACTTGAGGATTATGAAATATTACTCCTTGTAATATTATAGTTATTCCTACTTTAAATAGAAAAAAAAAGAGATGCTTGGCAAGAACTTTCTTCAAAATCTTAGATAGACCATGTGTGCTGGAACATCGATTAATCTGAGCGATTACAGAGTAGTGCATACTGTAGGCGAGTAGGAAATGAATCAGTGACAAGGCCAGTGGAGTTAGTAGTTCAAATCTGAAGTGAACTATTTTCCAAATAAGGGCATGATGTCCTGTCTTCTATACGTCGTGTACCACAGCAATTTTCATTGCACATCAAACCTTTTTATCTATGTATGGTCACATTTAATGTTATGGAACATCTGCGAAACGAGTGAGTTCCTGTTATCGCTTACATAGTAGCATCTATAAACAGCCATCCGCACACTTAAAGTCATAAAGTCGACAGAAGATGCGGGCTTGCTACCCCAGAAACCACAAAGTGCAAAGTCCTCCATCATGAGAACTTTCATATGTTGAAATGTTGACACGGAAGACTCTCTCCAAAAATGGCAAATAAACGAAACGATATACGAAAAACGCACCATATCGATGATTGTACTTCTAGGTTTCTTTGGAAATAGCAGCACTTTTTTATTTTTCTTATCTGTATGTCAGACATCCGCCTTCGTGACAAGTCTTTGTGAATGAACTGTTACTATAGAAACGATAAAGGTTTAGGACAAGCTCATTAATACAAACCTTGCAGGGGGTTTCTGTTATAGAAGAACCATCATCTGACTCTGAGCCATTAGAGTTGAGAATTTAATAGTAGATAAAGGCTTATAAATAAATATAAATAATATAGTCAGTCTTTCAAGCTAGCTATTATATATATATACAGTATCTCACAAAAGTGAGTACACCCCTCACATTTTTGTAAATATTTGGTGATATCGTTTCATGTGACAACACTGAGGAAATGACACTTTGCTACAATGTAAAGTAGTGAGTGTACAGCTTGTGTAACAGTGGAAATTTGCCGTCCCCTCAAAATAACTCAACACACAGCCATCAATGTCTAAACCACTGGAAACAAAAGTGAGTACACCCCTAAATGAACATGTACTGTGACATACTGAAGCAGGGCCTGATCGACTCCCTTCGGAGACTGGGCCGCAGGGCTGTATTCCAGCATGATAACGACCCCAAACACACCTCCAAGACGATCACTGCCTTGCTAAAGAAGCTGAGCGTGAAGGTGATTCACTAAACCCTATTGAGCATCTGTGGGGCATCCTCAAACGGAAGGTGGAGGAGCACAAGGTCTCTAACGTCCACCAGCTCCGTGATGTCGTCATGGAGGAGTGGAAGAGGACTCCAGTGGCAAAATGTGAAGCTCTGGTGAACTCCATACCCAAGAGGGTTAAGGCAGTGCTGGAAAATAATGGTGGCCACACAAAATATTGACACTTTGGGCCCAATTTGGACATTTTCACTTAACGGCTGTGTGTTGAGTTATTTTGAGGGGACAGCAAATTTCCACTGTTACACAAGCTGTACACTCACTACTTTACATTGTAGCAAAGTGTCATTTCTTCAGTGTTGTCACATGAAAATATATCATCAAATATTTACAAAAACGTAAGGGGTGTACTCACTTTTGTGAGATACTGTATATATATATATATATATATATATATATATGTATGTATGTATGTATGTATGAAGGTGCGTGTGTGTGTGTGTCCCCTGAAATCTACTGATTCAGTGCCTTTCGCTCTAAAGAAAACGTTCATCCACACATCAAAAGGTGCGCTGAAGCACACACAGCCCACGCGCTCTTATCGTACTTTGGATCTTCACACTGTTCTAACAACATGACAGGTGTCAAAAAAACACATCAGCCACTGATCAGTGCATTGATAAGTCGGGCGGGGGAATTTACGGAGAACAGAATCATTTACAGTTAATGTTTCCCTTTTTCTGTTTTTCTACAATGGAGCCTGACTCATTCGCTGCTCTTAATTAGTGCTGTACATGCACAGATGATCTTATCACTTCCTGTCTCTTTTCCTTTGATATATATATATATACATATATGCATTAATCCTTTGAAACACATACGTCTGACGCAGTTGAATGAGACTTTAGAGAATGGATGTATTACTGTACACTAGCATATTGTGCATTAGTTCTTCAAAATGTGGGTGGGTGTTGGTACATTTTCTATATTAGGATCTTATAGGGTTACGAAGTGTGAAAATGGTCCTTCCTGTGTGTGTGTGTGTGTATGTGTGTGTCTGTCTGTGTACATGTGTGTGTGTGTGTGTGTGTGTATGAGAGAGAGAGAAGAAGAAGAAGAAGAAGAAGAAGAAGAAGAAGGCAACAGAGCGTGAGTAAGAGAGGCCAACTGAAAGGGAATTGGGTCAAAAGCTATACAACGTCACAAATAAACAAATTCAGCAATAATCCTGTACATATTCCGTATAATCTAGTGGTACTTGAGCTGAACATTTTGACAAACCAACAGTAAATAAGTGTTGGCGCATTATTCAAATAATCAAACATAAAATCGTTTCCTGGAAAGCTAGTCGATGACGTCATGTCACACAGTCTGGACTGATATGACTTTACCAAGTGTTTCGTTATTTGATGTATTAAACTGTTAAGGGCATCGTGCACAGGTGTAGCAACAATTTAGAAGAGCCTGTTCACCTCCTGGCGTCTTTTTGTAACGAGCTTTGAGGAAACCAAAGAACCTAGAAAGGAACCTGAGTTGAGGAGTGTAGTGGACTGTGATGCGGGGTGGCATGGTGGGTAACCCATTGCTATTGCTGTCCCCAGGGTCCCGGGTTTGATCCTGAACTTGCGTGTAGTAAACTGGCATCCCATCCAGGGTGTTCGTGTTCACATTTAGTATTCCCGGGATTAAATCCGCGTTTGCTGGAGACAAACCAATCGATGAATCGATTGAGTGTTCTTTGGATACAGTAGTGAAAGCATCCTTAGCTTCTCGTGAGGTTCTACTTGGAACCCACTGGGATGGAAACACTTTTGATTACAGGGTTCTATGGAGAACCTTTCAGGGTTTTGAAAAACCCTTCATGGCTGTGAGAATGTATAATGTGTGTATACTACTAGTTAGTATGATTGAACTGAACCGAGTTCAAAACTAAAAATAAATAAAGACTCTGTAATCACTCTGACGAACACGTTTGGGGAAGTGAAACTTCCGCTAACCCCGCTTGTCGGTAATACCAGCACACTTTATAAACGCTCACAGTCCTTCCAGAGCTCATTGGCTTCAGTGCACACAGTTAGGACAGCACTGCGTGTGAGACTGAACCTGGATTACTGCGCATGCGCGGATTATCTCGCACCCACAACAGGAGCAGTAGGCAAAAAAAAAAAAAAATGTGCACTAGTGCGAGCCGTGAGACGGAGAGCTTTGTCTAGAAGCTAGAGAAAATTGGATGATTTTGGAGAAGAAGAAAAAAATAAAAACAACCTAGCTTCCTTCCTTCAGCCCTGTTTGAAGGAGTTTATTTAACTGGGATTTCCTTTCAGAGATGCAAAGCTTCCTTTATTTTGGTGCGTTTGTTCTTTTTTTTTTATTATTATTATTATTTTTATTTTTTTTTTAAATTAATGAATTAATTTCATCCAGAGGAATAATTCCTAGATGGATATACATTTAAACGTCAAATTTCTTTTATTCTTATATACAGTAGGCTGTATCTTGTGTGTTTCATTGATTGTTATTTATTTCTTCTATCTTCAGGCTTGCTTATGGGATTCATCTGGTCCACACGGACCATTTCTAGTGCTTCAGCAGGTCAGTGGGATTGCCAGTGTGGGTGTTTTTACGCGTACTGGGTGTGGAATGAAACCTGATCTGTTTTCGCAAACATATCTTAACAGATTAAAATGAGAAATAAAAATGGAAATAAAAGGCTACGTCTGTTGTCTTTAACAGAGTGGTCGCCAAGCCTCTTCGTTGAGATCTCCAATTGAAGTCTAACACACCTGGTTTAGTTGATCAAGAACTTCTAGGTGGTCAGGGGATGCACAATTAGATTAGATGGTCTGGTGGGCACAATTATGGTCTTCAGGAAGGTAGATCTCCAGGAACAAGGTTGGAGACCACTGCCTTAACCCTTACCCTTAAGGTTGCCATAACTTGATAGTAATATGTTAAGAAGACGTTTTTATCAGGCTTTTAAAAC